CTTTTGTGAAATCGGGTCGGACAGAGTAGCAATTTAGCGGTTACTTGTGTGGAATTGAAGGGTAAAACTAAAATCGTCGTGTTTATGACTTAGAATCTTGCAGCTTGTGCGTGTTTTTGGGTGTTTAATGGTGATTAGTCGGAGAGTGCAGAGCTCGAGGTTTGTAGTGGTTGTAACAATATGTTCTTGGTTTGTTACTATCATTATTATTACTGCTGTTATTACTGTCGTTAAATTAGTTAACTGTAGCCGTAAGATACTTTATTATGCCTAAGTTTTCATTGTTGCTCTGCATAATTTTAAACAACGGCATTGTATGTTTAATGATTCAGGTGTGCCAGTTAACAGCTATGTTTAGGTTAAGAGTAAATGTGTTGAAATTGAATTTAGAGATGTTGGATATCTAATTGCAAAGTTTTGAAAATTATACTGGTCATTGAACCAGTCAAACTACTGGTTTACTCATCCGATCAATTGTTGAACCGGTTGGACTTGTATATTTAATTTATTAATATTTTTAGTCGTATATAACATTTTATATAATAAAATTTATATATAGAACTTCGTTAATTAAATATTTATATTTAAAAAAAAAAAACTGGATCGGTTCAAACTGGTCTGAACAGACCAATTTTTGGCCAGTTTTGACTTGTCCAGCCGTTACTGATTTTTGAGATAACATGTTCTTTCTAGTGATATGGGCCGGTCAATTGACCGGTTTTCGATCCAACAGGCGCGGTCTAAGCTTCTAAACCATGGTATCTCGCAATAGAATGTAAATGACTAGAGATATGTAGAAAATTTACCCAAATCTCTCTCTCTCTCTCATACATTCACTTGAGCCATTTCAAGACCAATAATACACAGCAACAAACATTCTCATCCTGATTCTCGACGTGGGGCCCACAACTCGAACCGAACGTCATTCCGAAACCTCGACCCAGCTCAAACCCGGATCCTTACCCGGCATCATCAATCTCCTCATCTCCATAACGTGGCCCCATTTCCCGGCCCCACCATACAGCTTCGCCAGCAGCACATTAGCCGCGCTATCTTCTCCATTAATTTCCAAAACCCTTCGAGCTGCATAAACCCCTCCCTTAACATTCTCGTTCTTAACGCAAGAACTCAAAACGCTCCTCCACAATTCCAAATTCTCGTCCGAGAAGGGTAATTCGGTAATTAACCCCTCGGCCTCCTCCCACAATCCCGCACGGCTCAAAGCGCTTATTAAACAAGAATAGTGTTTTGGGCCGGGGATTATCCCGTTTTCCTTCATGTAATTCCAAAAGTATCTACTTTTCCCCACCAACCCACAGTGGTTACAAGCGGATAACAGGGACAAAAACGTAACTTGATCCGGGCTCAGCCCACTTTTCAGCATCGCGAAGAAAATTTGGAAAACCTCGTGGGCCCTCCCGTGGTGAGCGTAAGCCGTGAGCATCGAGTTCCAGCACATCAAGTCGATTCTGGGCAGGGAGCAAAATGTAAATGCAGCCGATTTTAGTTCTCCGTTTTTCGCGTACATATCAACAAGACTGCTTTGCACACAAGCATCAGACTCGTTTCCTGTTTTCATGGCAAGACAGTGAATCATTTCTCCTTGATTTAAAGTTACTAGCTCGGCACACGCGCTTAACGCGCTACTAAGTGCAAAGCTATCAACTTTGCAACCATTTTCAAACATTTCTTGGAATAAACGCAGTGCATTCTCACTTTGACCCGTTCGAACGTGCCCAGCAATCATGTCTGTCCAAAGAACGGTGTCTTTATGGGGAAAAGAATCGAATATCTTTCGGAAGGAGACAAAATCGTCATTGTTGAAGTACATAGAAGTGAGTGTGCTCCCAATGTACACACTCTTCTCAAGTCCGATTTTTTCTATTTGAGCATGGAGTGGCTTTCCATATTCGCTAGCTGGAAATAAGCTCGTACCCGAAATAACAGCTGCAAATGTGTACTCGTCGGGTCTGTAAAGAGACACTTGCATTAGCCGAATGAACATACACATTGCCTTCTCTCCTTCTCCACTATCAGAATACCCACCTATCATTGAGTTCCAAGAAATCAAATCGGGTTTCTTGATTCTCGAGAAGACATTGCAAGCCGAGCGAGTGTCCTTACAGCTGCAGTACATATCGAGCAGCGAGTTATGCAGAGGCAAATCGACATGCGTGCCCGATATAAGGACATGGGCATGCACGATTTTGCCGTGATCATAATCCTCCAACTTGGCACAAGCATTTAACACCAGAGAATACGTGAATCGGGTAGGATTAAATCTATCCCTCAACATATCTTGATAAAGTTCGAGACTTTCGATTATTCTACCATTCTTTACATAGCTGGATATCATCGAGTTCCAAGCTATGTCGTCTTTATCCATTATGTGGCGGAACACTTTTTCAGCACAGCCCATATCACCACATTTCGAGTACATACCCAGTAAAGATGTCTGAACGCTGGCATTGTTCGAAACACCGATTTTAACACTTCGTGAGTGTAATACAGAGCCGAGGACCACGTCCCGAAGCCCGGACGAAGCCTGCAGGAGGCTAGTGATGGTCATTCTGTTTGGCTTGAGGTTCACGTTCTCCAGTCGGCTGAGCAGCCGGTATGCTTGGTGGGCGTGGTGCGGACTGCGTGAATAGGCGGAAATCAGGATGTTGTAGGAGACGATGTTTGGTTGGGGCATTTTGTCGAACAGGTTCTGGGTGTCCCCGAAGGACCCGCAGCGTGCGTACATGGCGAGGAGGATGTTGTTATGTAACAGCGGGGACTCTGTATCGGTGCATGGGGAGGTGATGAGGAGTGCGTGGAGCCGACGCGCCTCCCGGAGAGACTTTGTGGCGGCGCATTTGGGGATGAGATGCGCTCTTGTTAATGGTGGTGGTGGCATAAAAAGTCACCTTTTTTTTGGTTGTTAAATGGAGACTTTGTGCACACTGTGCCCCTTATATTTACT